GGGGCAGGGAGGGACCTTGTGGCTCACCAATGAACTTGATGGCTGCCTCTCGCACGGGCTCCTGTGGGCTCTCCAGGTATGGCAGGGCCTGGTGCAGATGCTCAGCCACTCTTCTCTTGTCCTTTTCCAGCTGGAGAGAGCACCGGGACACAGTGGGAAGGGTTGGCTGGGGCTCTGCCCCTTGGCCGGGTGTTGCCTGCGCCCAGCACTGGCCTCTCCTGCCTGCACAGCCCTGAGGCCTGGGCAGGAGCTGCTGGGGCCAGCTTTGGAGGGAGCAGAGGGCTAGCAGCTGTGGGACCACCCTACCCCACAGCCCAGCTGGGCTGAGGCTCGATGGCAGCCTGGCTCAGGGGCAGAGGAGCCTCCAGAGGAACCACACACCTCAGGGAAGGCAGCAGCGTGTGGGGTGCAGGCTGCTGTGCTGCAGCAGTGGGCAGGAGCACAGTGCCAGCCGCACACTCTGGACATTGAGGACTGGGGGCTGCTCAAGCCTGGGGCAGGGATGTTGAGGCCATCCTTACCAGGCACTCGCCGAACCTCCACGGTTGCTTCTTCTTGACCAGCTGCTCTAGATCCCTTCTCTTCAGGAACCTGAGTGCATGAATCAGCACTTCCCCAGAGGCCTGCAGAGCAACAGGGAGCAGGACATGGCACTGCAGCCCAGGGCACAGGACCCGTGTCCCTGGACCAAGGCCAAGAGGAGGCTGGAGCCTTCAAGGTGCCAGGGCAGGAGGCAGCCCAGCCCCCTCCCCGACATCAGAACCTAGAAAGTCCTCACCTCTGCCACACGCTGGTTCTCATCATGCCAGTAGAAGAAGAGTGGGAGCAGGCTCTGCATCACATGTGTCTTCAGGGATTGTTTTCCCTCATCCACTCCCAACTCCATCACCTTTCGGAAGAGGTGAATGGAGAGCAGCTGCGTGTGGATGTTGTCCTGATGGAAATTAAGAGGAAAAGACCTCAGCTCCAGGCCTGCTGGGGCACAAGCCTGCAAGTCCACAGGCCACAGTTTCCTGGCAGCACCCAGCACCTGTGTTGGGGGGCACAGAGCCTTACATTGCCAAAGAGTGGCTGGAGCACCTCAGCCAGCTGCAGGGCAGTGGGGGTGGAGATTCGGATGTCTCTGTCCTGGATTTCATTGATGAATACAGAGAGGGCCATCCCGACCAGCTCTCTGTCTGCATCTCCCAGTACGTCCAAGAGGCTTTGTGTCAGGCTCTGCATGCCATCAGCCTGTGTGGAACACGATGCTGTGCTGTGAAGCCATGAACGGCTGCACCCCCAACCCCTCTCCGATGGGGCAGCCCCACGTGCTGCTGCGGGGCCCAGAGGCCCAAGGCCTGTCCCAAGGGACTTGGGCAGCTGAGCAGGGAGGCAGCAGAGCTGGGAGCAGTTGCCACAGCTCTTGAAGCCCAGCCAAGCCCAAGCAACTGCACTCCCCAGTCCCAGGATTCCACCACGGCTTCAGCCAACTGCCCCCTCCTCACCATCACAGGATCCTTGCTTAGCACCACGAGGCCTCTGAGTGCCAGGCGACGTCTCTCTTTGCATTCGCTCCGTAGGTGCCTTGAAAAGAGCTGCAGGATGCTTTCACCGCATTCAGTCACGTCCAGGTAGACCAGGACCTGAAAGGCACGGAGTAGTGACAAGGTGCCCAGCCAGCAGGAGCTCAGACCCGCACAAGGCTGGGCCCAGGCAGCAGCACAGGGCACAGCACCGTCCTGGGCAGCTGCAGCTGCGAGAGGGCAGAGAGATGGAGGCAGGTCAGCAAGGCAGCGCTTGCCATCAGGCTCACCTCCACAAGGAACGCCATAGCAGGAAGCTCCCAGCGTGGCTTCTCCCTGTTGAGCAGCCCCAGCAGGCAGAGGGCAACCGGGGAACACAAGGGGCTCGAGGCACGGCGCATCTCCCTGGCAGGGGGAAATAGGCACCATCAACCCTGAGCTGGCTGGGCAAACCTCTCCTGGGACTCACTGACACAATCCTGGTCTTTCCCCAGCACCCTGGCAGGGGACGAGGGCACTCTGGGACGAGGACTCCTCCTGTGCAACCGCCTCTCCCAGCCTTTACCACTCTGCTCGGCCATCCCTCAGTAACAAGGCCCTCTGGCCCTCAACCACGGGCACTGTGTGGGGTGCCCCGTGCAGAGGGCAGAAATGACAGGGGCAGCGGGGACAAGGGGGTCTCTCACCTGGCCAGCAAACCCATTGCATAGTGGTGGGTGTCAGAGTTGAGGAGCGTGTCCCAGCCACGCTTCCGTTCCATTGCCATCACAATATTTTCAAACTGCAGACGGCAGAGTAGGGTCTTCATAGTCAGCACTGCAAACCTGTGTGCAGAGCAAAGCCCAGGTCATGCTGGGAGCCCTGACCCAGCCCTGAGGGCACAGGAGGGAGGGAGGGGAGGACTGGGATGGAGCACCTGTTAGGGTTCCTGGCAAGGCGGTGTTCCTCCCAGCATCTCCTCCAGAAGGTGTCAACCTCTTCTGGCATCTGCTCTGTGCTGATGAAGACTTGGAAGAGCAGATCCACAAGGAGACGGGGGGAATATACCATCAATGCCTCTGGGCACTGGATCATCTGGAGAATTTCCCAAACCACTCTGGTTGCCTACAAAAGACAAACCATCCGGCCACAGCACTCAGTGCCCAGACATCCATGTGGCAGGGCTTGAGCGTGGGAGGCAGAGGCCAGGGGAGACTCAGGGGGAGCCCCTGGCCTGGTGCCCCTGAACCTACCCCTAGTCCAGGTTTCCAGCCTGGTGCATGAGGCAGGGAGATGCCATGGTGGGGGAGGATAGAGGGCTATTAGAGAGGCAACCTGGGGTTGAACAAAGGTAGAAACTCACAGCCAGGGCAAAGATGTCCTTGTTGTTCTCATCGGAGGTGGACACGCTGTGCTGTGGCCAGTCCTCCATCACACAGAGCAGTGTTGGCAGCACCCTCACCACTGTTGTTTCAGACAAGGCTATGGTCCTCCACATGATTGCAGCAGCTCTGTGGGGTCAGATCTCTGTGTCAGGGGAGTCTGAGCCACTGTGCTGTGACCTGGGCAGCTGCAGGAGCCCAGGTGACAGAGCCATGGTGCCTTGAGGAGCAGGGAGGGAGCATGGCAGCAGGACTGGGGGCTGAGGTGCCAGGGCTGGGAAACACAAGGGCCAGAGCATCCTGGAACTCTCTGTCTGTCTGGCAGAGCATGTGGGACAGGTCTAAAGGCTGGTGAGCCCTGAGCCCTGAAGGCACATGGACCCCATACCTGTCACATGATGGGGCACAGCGCAGGAGGGTCAGTGCGACATCAGCAGGGTATGTATCGGTCAGCCTCAGTATGTCCATGAACAGTCTGTTCTCTGGGAACATGTTGGCTGTGAGTCTCTGATGCATGTTCTTCATGAAGGCCTGCACCTGGAGGGGGCACGGGGGGAGAGTTGGAGAGCTGCCAGAGTGAGCAACTTGCCCAGCTTCTCCCAAGAAGTGCTTCCCTTCCCACCACACTGTGCTGGCCTCAAAGGCTGAGGGGGCCCAGCAGACCCAGCTTTAGTGTCCACACGACCCTTTGCCTCAGGCTGCTTACTTTTACAGAGACAACTCTCTCCCCAGAAGAGTCCAGACCAGGAGCATCAACCAGGCTCTGATTGGGTGTGGTGTCAGTGTTTGCCATGCGCTCATTTGGCCTGATGCTGACATCAGCCTTCGCAGTGCCACTGAAGTCCTTAAACATCTGCGGAAGAAAGCAAGGCAGGGAAGAGAGGGATGTTTGAGTGCTCCAATGGTGGTACCCGCTGAGCAGGTGGGGATGGCTGATGGTACCTGGCCTATAAAGCACCAGCAGCCATGGGCAGGGTCCTGCTCTTCTGTCCTATCTCGGCCTGGATCTGGCAAAGAACGAGCGTGGTCAGAACTGAGGGGCTGCGGGACAGGCCGAAGAACACAGGCCAGCTCTGCGCTCCACAGGCAGGGCCAACCCCAGGATGCCCAGTGCATGGAGCATGGCCACTGGTGGATCAGCCCTGGCCCCTCTTCCCCCTTCCCTTTCTCTAGCCATGTCTACAGCGGACGGGAAGAGGCCCATCTGGCTGCAGCCACCAGCCCTGTGGCCCAGCTCTGCCACTCACCCTCCTGCAGGGGCTGGGACTGCTCCACCTCTTTAGGCTGCTGTGCTAGAGCAGCCCCAGGGCCCTCCTTCTTCCTCCTGAACAGCCTACACAGGCTTAGGCTTCTCTCTACCATCCCACAGTCGGGCCTTGAGGGCACCTGCAAGAGAGACACTTCAGGAAAGCTGTGGGTCACCAAGTGCCGTGGACTGGCCACATGGGCACCTGAAAAGCTCCTGGTCACCAAGTCCCATAGTCTGGACTGAAGGGGAAATGGGGGACAGTGGGAGAATTGCCAAAGCAAGCAAACTGCCAGGCTTCCCCCAGAAATGCTTCCCTTCCCGCCACACTGTGCTGGCCTCAAAGGCTGAGAGGGCCCAGGGGAGGTGGCTTGAGCCCTGGACACAGGCTGCTTACTTGCTTTGAACTGGAGTCACCATTCTCCTCAAAAAAATCCCAATTGGGAGAATCAATCATTCTGTCACTGGGCGTGGGGTCAGTGTCTGTGATGCCTTCAGTTGTTGCAGTGCCGGCCTCCGCAGTGAGATCAGGCAATGCAGTGTCAGAGTTTGTCGGATCATCGGTCAACGTGATGTCAGAGATTGCCATGCGATCAATCGATGGGCTGTAAGCGTCTGTCGTATCATCAGTCAAAGAAGTGTCAGACTTCATTCTTTGATCAATCGGTGTAGTGTCAGAGTTTCTTGTGTGATCATTCAACACGGGGTCAGACTTCGTTGTGTGATCAGTTGGTGCAGTGCCGACACAAGGCTTTGCCGTCAACTTGGTGAGCCTTGTGTCAGGCTGTGCCATGACCTCAGTTGGTGAGGTCCTGGTCTTTCTATGCTGAATGCCCATGAATTTCAGAAAGGCCTGCAGGAGAATGAATGGCAGGGAAGAAAAGGACGTGCCATAGAGAGCTCTGATAGCGGTTCCAGGCTGAGCAGTGACAGCAGGCCCAGTCCAGGTGGCGATGGCTGCAGGTACCTGATCAGCTCTGCGGAAGTGACCACGGGCGCGGTCCTGCTCCTGTGTCTGGTCCTGGCCTGGATCTGGCAAAGAGTGAGCACAGTCAGAACTGAGGGGCTGTGGGACAGGCCGAAGAACACAGGCCAGCTCTGCGCTCCACAGGCACGGCCAGCCCCGGGATGCCCAGTGCATGGAGCATGACCACTGGCAGATCAGCCTTGGGCCCTCTTCTCCCCTCCCTTTCCCTGGCCATGTCCACAGGGGATGGCAAGAGGCCCATCTGGCTGCAGCCACCAGCCCTGTGGCCCAGCTTTGCCACTCACCCTCCTGCAGGGGATGCAACTGCTCCATCTCCTCAGGCTGCTGTGCAGGGGAAGTCTCAGGGCCTTCCTTCTTCTTCTTCTTCATCCGAAAGGACCTGAGCAGGCTCAGGCATCTTCCTGCCATCCCGCAGTCTGGCCTGGAGGGCACCTGCAAGAGAGAGAAACCTCGGAAGATCTCCGGGTCACCAAGTCCAGCAGGCTGCCCTCGAGGCCACCTACCACAGGGATTGGAGACTCCAGAAAATTTCCAGGTCACCAATCCCTGCAGTCTGGCCTCGAGGGCACCTGAAAGAGAGAAAAACCTAAGAAACGCTATGGGTTATCAAGTCCTGCAGTCTGGCCTCGAAGACATCTGAAAGACAGAAAAGCCTAGCAAATGCTAGAGATTAGCAAGTCCTGCAGTGCGGCCTCAAGGGGACCTGCCGCAGGGATTGGGGACACCTCGCAAAAGCTCCGTGTCACCAAGTCCCACGGTCTGGCCTCAAGGACGCTTGCAGCACAGAAAAACCTCCAAAATGCTCCAGATCAGCAGGGAAAGAGTTGGCTGCACGGGGGCTCCGCACAGCACCACTCTGTCCCGTCTGTCCTGTCGCACACCCCAAGGAGCACTGAGGCGTGGCCACCTTACCACCAGTACTATGTCATCATGTGTCACAAAGGGCCCTGTGACACCCTACCCCGTGCCATGGGGCCTCCCCCAGCCCGACCAACTTGCCCAAGGTCAGAAGGGGTCTGTTCTCCAAACTATCTAAGACAGCTGGTCATGAACTTTAGGCACAACTCAAAAACTAAGCAAACCTTCCCCTGCTGTGCTTGCCCACGGCAGTAGAAGGAGCCCCCTCAGCTGCCAACGCAGATGCAGCAAGAAGGGCACAGGGCCTCCGCACAAACTGGCACAAGCTCCTTGAGAGAAGTGCCGGCTGGTGGCCCTCCCAAACACAGGGCTGTGACACAGAGAAGGAAAGTGGTGGTAAGGGCACCATTGCTGCTCCCACCCCATTGCCCAGGGCTGCAGCAAAATCAGCAACTCTGGCAAGTCCTCGCCCAAGGAGACCTACCACTGCCCTGAGTCCTGGCAGGGCTGGTACCCCTCTCCTGCCCCACACAGCTGTGTCCCCGGGGGACTTCTCTGCCAGAGGGCAGCCAAAGGCAATGGGTACTGATGTCTGTGCTCTTGCAGGGAGCTGTTGGGAGCGGCAGCTGGAGCAATTGGTGGCCGTGCTCGGCAGTTGTCAGAAGGGAGAAGCAGTTTCTCCTGCAGGAATGACTTTTGCATGGAAGTGATGACCTGCAGCACCAAACCACCCTCAGTTGATGAGTTTCACAGGAAGATTAGATTGGTCAGAGACCCTGTCAAGTTTCCTTGTGTTATTTGGACTTTTTTTCTTGCATTCTGCAAAATAAAAGCTGCCCAGTCTGATGTTCAAAGCTCCAGTTGTTGTGTGTCCGGCTGCAACTCCCAGCTGATATCCAGGGCACTGGGGAGAAGTGAAGGGGATAGGGAGAACTCTGGGATCCAAACCTGTTCTGTGTCTCTGATTAAGGTGCCACCTCACTGAAGGAGCAGCCAAGACAAGTACTGGCAGCAGACGTCTTCTGCCAGTTGCTGCTCTCGCATGGACACAGGGTACACATGTTCACATGGGTCCAGAACACTTGATGCAAGAGCAATGGGGGGCCATGTACTGGTAGAGAATGGGCTCCAGCAAGCCCAAAGCCTGACCCTCTAGCAGCAAAAGCTGAGCTTGTGAACTGGGTCATTTTTGCAACAGACACCACACTGCTGACTTCACTCCATCCTGGAACTTGAGCCATATGAGGCCTTGCTTCAGCTTCTGCTACTTTTTCCTTTGTTCCCAGTTCACAAGCTCAGATTTTGCTGCTAGAGGATCAGGCTTTGGTCTTTCCATTCCACTCCATTTCCATTCCATTCCATTTCAATTCCATTCCACTCCATTTCCATTCCATTCCATTTCCATTCCATTCCATTTGGTCTTTCCCATTCATTGGTAGGGAATGGGCTCCAGCAAGCCCAAAGTAGGATCCTCTAGCAGCAAAGCCTGAGCTTGTGAACTGGGCCATCTTTGCAGCAGACACCAAGTACTGACATCCCTCCATCCTAGAACTTGAACCATATGAGTCCCTGCTTTGCTTCAGCTTCTGCTGCTTTTTCCTTTGTTCCCAGTTCACAAGCTCAGGTTTTGCTGCTAGCGGATGAGACTTTGGAGCCTGGTAAGGATGACCTCACAACCCCAGTCCCCGATGCCCAGAGTGTGGGGCCGCCACTGTGCCCCTGACCACCGCTGCAGACACCTATGGGACAGCAACCTGCGCCCCACACGCTGCTGCCTTCGCTGAGGTGTGCGGGCTCCTCTGCAGGCTCCTCTGCCCCCGAGCCAGGGTGTCGCTGGAGACCCAGCCCAGCTGGGCTGTGGGGCAGGGTGGCCCCACGGCTGCTGGGGAGCAACCAGCCCTCTGCTCCCTCCAAAGCCGGCCCCAGCGTCTGCTGCCCGGGCCTCAGGGCTGTGCGGGCAGGGGAGGCCAGTGCTGGGCACAGGCAGCGCCCGGCCAAGGGGCAGAGCCCCAGTCAACCCTCTCCTCTGTGCCTTGCTGCTCTCTCCAGCTGGAAAAGGACAAGAGAAGAGTGGTCGAGTACCTGTGCCAGGCCCTGCCATACCTGGAGAGCCCACAGCAGCCCGTGCGCAAGGCGGCCCTCAGGTTCATTGGTGAGCCACAAGCTCGCGGTCCCTCCCTGCCCTGCTGCAGCTCAGCCCCAGCCCTGGCTGCTGCAGCGGCAGCAGGATGC